ATCATCCCTACATAATAGCACAAGCAAGAATTAACATATAGCAATATATATATAACTATTCAATCATGATTTAGTTTAATTTATACTATTTTTGTCTGTTAACATTCTACTACAATGTGTACCTGTATCTGTAAAAGAATTTTAACAGAAAACATAGGATAAATTAAATTCAATTGTGATTGAATAGTTATATATATATATATTGCTATTAATTCCTGCTTGTACTATTATGTAGGGATGACGCAAATGCCATCCTTACTATATTGTTTTTGAAGCATTGATATTAGCCATCCCTATATTTGCTTCCTTTTTTTGAAAAGTTTTTCTTCACTTGTTTGCTTGTTGTTTTTTAATGCAGTGTTTAAATAGACATAGGAAGGTTGTATTTATAACCAAGTTCTAAATACAATGAGCTTCCAACTGTAATATTTATTGTTTATCGATTATTGGCTGGTAATTTCTGTTTCACCCTGTAATCAAACGTTTTAAAAGAACACCAAATTTCTGTAAGAAAGCTAACTTTAAGGGGTAATAATAACATCGTTTACACTCGTATTATTTTGTTTTGTTTTTATTGATACTAGTTATTAATTAAAGTTATTAATATTATAAAAGCGGATACTCTGTTTCAAACTATGTCACCCCAGTTAAATTGGTTGACACCATTGTTTTGGTTTTTGAGTTATCATGTAATAAAAAAAGCACAAGAAAGAAGAACAAGAAAGCCAAACCTTTTGCTATGATATTTACAGACATCTTCAGAACTTATGACCCAGACTTTACATAGATATTGTTATAAAAGGAAACATTGTATAGTATTCTAAAGTTCTGATGACCTATTGGGGAGATATTTGACATACCTTTTCGATGAACAGTCCAAGTCATCCCTACATAGGCAGTGCTACAGCCTGTCTGATAAGTACAAAATGGAACGATTCCACTATTCTGGATACAATTAACATGTCTGAAAGGTATAAAAATCAAGAGAATGGGTAGAGTAACCTTAAAGTCTTAAGGTATTGTGGAAAACAATGAAGCCAAACGTTGGAGTACATATCAATAGATAAATAAACGGCTTTAAGACACTGTATACAACAAAGAAGTCAAGTGATGAAGTACATATTAATAAATCAACGATAATCTGCCTAAGACACTATATAAAACAATGAAGCCAAAAGATGGAGTACATATCAATACATGAACGATAACCGGCTTTAAGGCACTGTATACAACAAAGAAATCAAACGCTGGAGAGCAATAACAATCGACCTTAAGGTATTTTATAAAACAAAGAAGCCAAAGGTTGGAATATACACCAATGGTTTGCCAGGGTTGATACGTTACGGGCTTCCAGGCAGCGTCTGCTGCTGCTAACCTATAAAAGTAAAGTCTACAATAAAAATTGAGAAATTATAGTTTAAACTAACTGAAATACAGGCTATTTTTGGCAAAATCTCTCTTGAGGAGGTGATACATTATAATCTATGTTTCAAACACAGTTGTTTCCTACCTTCTAATTAACAAATAACGATAATCAATTTTTACCTTGTAAATCAGAACATTCACATTGTTCACAACGAGTGTCTGATTCACAGTATATATATATGACAGCTACAACAAAGAACTGAATTTTACATTTTAAATGAATAGCAAAAATCCCATTTCTGTAAATAAAAATGCTTTACACGGTGAAGCATTAAAAACAGACTCCTGGTGGTTTATATATTAAACCTAGCGTATAGCACATCAAAAATGGCGGGGCAAGTACTACAACCCCCCACCTCATAGTATACCCTAACCTCATATTTCATAGCTAAC